CTTATATAACTATCATTAGCTTACAGCTTGAAGTGTTTGTGCTAACTAAAAATAAAGACAATATGGTAGTTTATTAATTTTTAATGAAATTTGCAGATTGTTTCGGTGAAGTTTAATAAACTCCTTGCTTTCTAAAATATAACAGGACACCGGAGTATATTCTCCAGCGTCTCACACTTCTGATAATCAGCTGTCTGCTTGACAGTTTTAGCTGTGCAAAAACTATAACTTTAATCTCAGCCAAACCGATTTACTCAGGAACAAATAAAATACTAAAGAAAGCCAAACAATAACATTTTTAAGTTATCTAAGTGACTTATATATATGTTTAACCTGACTAGCGAAAGACGGCGGTGGGTTTGAAAACGATTTGCCGGGAGTCCGGTGTTCTCACGGCTCTAGTGACCTAGCCCCCGCCTAGCTAACGAGCTAGTGGGTAACAGACGTCTCCGAAAACGTCGGAGCGCTTTTGAAAATATGTGGTGTCTTGATAAACTGAGCAGATATTTGAGGTTTACACAGCTACATTCTCGCCTGAAAATATGTTAAACGTTTATTTTGTGACCAAGAAAGAATAATAAGAATAACATTAAAACTAACTAGCTGCCGCCATTGTTGACAACTGCGCTGGGCTGCGCTATGAATTCTGGGACACAGCTTCTTCTTCTTCGGGGTTTAACGGCAGCTGGCATCCTTGTACATGCAGTGCTGCCATCTTCTGTTTCAGTCCGTTATTACACTCTTAAATCCTACTACTCATTCCTGCGTCCTTTGTGATCTTACAAAGCTTCAAACGATGCGTCGACTATTAAATTAGTCGTCGACGATTTTAATAGTCGACATAATCGTGACTAGTCGACTAATCGTGGCAGCCCTAATGGGGACCTTGAGTTTGGATTGAGTGGTTTCATAAGTGGAACCTGATTTGAGAGCGGATCTTAACAGTTTCCAACACTCAACAACCTGGGGGCTCTGTTGTGGCAGGCGGGCTCGGTGACTATGGTTCAGATGAGAGCGAGGATGAGGATGGCCGTAGCGTCCGAGGATCCGAATCCTCAGACACAGATGAGGAAGAATTACGTCACCGCATCCGGGAGAAGCAGGACGCGTTCCGCCGCAAAGAGCGGGAGATGCAGCTGCTGCAAGAGAAACAAGCTCAGGAGGCGCTGCTAGCACGTGGTAAATATTAAATGTCATTTGTGCAATGTGTGTTACTAGTTCACTTTTAACCTGAGTCTTTGTTTTCTGTTTGTACAGAAGAGATGGCAAAGGAGAGATTAAGTAAAGAAAGGGGGGAATATGATGAGAGTCAGTCAGAATATCCACACAAACAGGACATGAAAGAGAGGGAGGCAGAGCCCTTGGCAGACAGGCGCAGGTCCCGTAGTGAGAGGGAGGGTAGTGAGGGAAAGCATTCAGGCAGAGGGAAGGAACGCTCAGGGAGAGGCAGCAGCGATTCTCCCACCAATGGTCACAGCAGCAGCTCCCGCTCCACCTCCAGCCACAGCAGCAGTCGATCTTCCTCCTCCTCATCTTCTTCCTCGGTATCTTCCCGTAGCTCCTCTCGATCTTCCTCCCCGCGAAGGAAAAGGAGACGTAGTCGCTCCTCATCCCACAAAACCCGGCAGCGCAGCCGCAGCCACAGCTCACACAGGCATCGTAGTGATCGCAGTGAGAAGGGCAGGGACAGGAGGAGGAGCAGTGCAGAGCGATCAGGCCGCCACAAGAAAGATCGGAGTGATTCCAGGGAGCGCAGGAGTCGAAGGAGTAGATCTAGGTCCAGAGACAGGGCCAGAGAGAGGGCCAGAGGAAGTCGCAGTCGCAGCAGAGACAGGGAGAGGGATAGAGAGAGGAAAAGGAGTCGGGAACGCAGGGACAGCAGTCATAGTCGCAGCAGCAAACATAAACAAAAGGCCTCTAGTAAAGACAGAGAGAGGAGGAGGGAAAGGAGTCGTAGTCATGAGAAAGACAAGAAAAAGAAGGATAAAGATAGAGACAAAGAGGTGGATAAAAAGAAGGAAAAGCCAAAGACCAAAGAGAAGGAAAAAGGGAGCTCTGTAGTTAGTGAAGAGAATGGCAAATCTAAGAAAAGGAAAGAGAGCGAGTTAGGAACCGATTCTCAAACTGACAAGCACTCGCGACATGATAGTAAAGCCAGCAAGAAGGGCTCGGCCAAAGCTAGCAAGAGGCACTCAGACTCTGACTCAAGTAGATCCCCCTCCCCTGAAGTTAGCAAGGAAAAAAAATATAAGAAATCCAAACGTAGTCGCTCAAGATCGACGGAAAAATCTCACAAGTCTGGTAAGAAGGCAAGCCGCAAACACAAGTCTAAGTCGCGATCAAGGTAGTATTCGTTTTTTTCTCTTTCAAAATACTTTATAATACTGTTTTCATTGTGATTTCTCTCGAGTCTTTGATCTGTTGTAGTAGCTGAGAGGAAAATGTTGGCTGTTATGAAAATTTAATGTTTAATACAGCTACACGTGCCTGACTGTGTAAAGTCAGGTCTCATGAATTAAAGGCTTAAATCTTTCACAACGGTTTTCTATGTCAAATGCAAATATGCCATGACTGAATACTAGCAAGTACCGCTTCCCTAGAGCATCTGCCTGATTTGTCTGGTTCCTGGCCAAAATAGAGGGCGAAAATGTCAAATTGAGCCAAACAAACAAATTTGTCTTTTCGCCATGTTCTGCAGTTTAATTTGCATCTGTAGAATTTGTATAACATCAGTTTTTATGGAAGTTTTCTGCCATATTTATAGTCTTGACAGTATTTTTGGTGAAACGTGTTTTGTTCTGTTGTGCACTGCAATCAGTGTCATTAGTGCAGGAATAATGTCGTGTTCATAACTTTCTTTCAGGTCGACGTCTCCCTCCCGTCGTAGCAGACGCTGAGGAGCACAGTCACTGCCCTGATCTGTGCACTTTGCCATTTTAAATTCCATGAGTTGAACAGGCTTGTCTCATTATAGAGGCAGTTGTGTAGGTGAAAACCCCCTCATACTTTTTCTTTTACTGTAAATATGTTCTTTTTAAAGTGTGCCTGAAGAACAAGTTTGAATGGTAGGAGTTTCCATTATCATGCACAGTTTAATTACACACTAAAAAACTCAAGTGAAACTGTGTATATTTTAAAAAAAGATTAACTTTTTCTCCAATTATTGTAAGATGTCTAATAAACTGTTTCTTGTCTTGCCTCACTACCTCTCTGACCTTAATTCAGTATTTACTAACACAGTATTTAATGATGCATGTTGCAATTGCATTAAACGTAACCATACAAAGCAGGATCCTGCTACTTCCCAGAGATTACAATAATTCCCACTTTAAGGCTGCATGTGTTCAGCTGTCAGTGCTGCTGGATGGAAGTAGTGTTGCAAAAACCGTGCATTGATAGAATGAATGGTAGAAAGTAACTTAAAACATTTTCTCAGTTTTCTGAAGAACGGTTGCTTTGTCCATAAGTATTTACAAGTTGTGCTACTTCTGTTCCACTAGGTACTGCAAATGGTGCACTTTGTATTCCTTACCATATTTTATATAAGTTTTAGAGTGTCACTTTTTAAGCTACAAGTTTGTTGCTGTTTTGTTATAGATAAAGCAATGCAGCAATATTTAAGTGATTAAATAAGTTATTTTAATCAAATCAATTTAGATCTACAACATCAAAATGTAACTTAGAAATCTAAAAGGTTGTTTTGTATAAGAACTTTTACTTTAGGAAAAAAATATTTTTTGATGCTGTAGTTAGGATAATGGTTTCTGTTTAAAGCATCAAATTGCTTGTTTGTTCATACTGAAAAACAGTTATTCAATATAAAATATTAACACTTCAATAGTTTCACTTCTTACATAGCACATCGTTAAAGGCTCTCAGCTGCAGGTGAGCCTGAAAATTGTGCTCAGTGTTTGGTACACCATTGTTTCTGATCTTTTTTTTTCTTTTTTTTAAATCCTGGAACATAAAAATATAACATGAGCACATCCAGACAGTTTTCTGAAAGGTGATGCTTGGATTTGGCCTTGGAAAAAAACAAAAAAAAACAACTCTTCATGTCATGCATCCGAACACTGAGTCCAAGCGCTGACGAGGGAGCACAGGGGAGCACAGGTTAGTGTACCACATGAGTACTTGAAGCCTGTGCAGGTTAAATGCTTAATCACATTTAGAATTTGGAGACAACAGTCAACACAAAAATCTTCATCTCACGTCCCTCAAACCATTCAGATGTTTCCACTGTGCCAGAAACGCTCTTGTCATAGGTGATCTTACTGTTTTGTTCCACATGTGAACATAATACAAGTTATCACAAATTACACCCTAGTAGTAAAAAAATAGTCATCAGTAACATATGATTGGCCAGTGAAGTTATCAGTTTTGGTTTTTCCCCAATGAGTAAACTTTTTTTTCTGTTTGTACAGAGATGATTGGCACTTTAAAAAAATGAAACTAGTTAAATGTTTGATCAGGCATCACAACTGAGAGCATGACTCCCACGAATCCATTTTAAAACATAAATTTAAAAAAAACTGGGAACAAATAAAGCTGTCGAACTTTCATTTCCTACTGTGCAAACACTGATTTTTAGTGAGTGGTTTGCAATATCCGATTTCTTTACTGATGGATCCTATTAACCTGCAAGTGATTACTGGGTAAAGTGTATTGGACAAATGAAACTAACCAAAGTCATTAGACTCTACTTTGTCCAGTTGGTCAGGTCTCAACTGGGACTTTTTAATTTTTAAACAATCAAGGAAGAACTTGGCATACTTTTACTGCTCATATTTATTCTTTCGAATACCATAGAGCAGACACAAGCAGTCAAAAAAGAAAACTGGCATAGCATAAAATTAAATACATAAAATATAAATAGATGAAGAGTGGCAGAGGCACTGGGTCCTTAGCAGCTCAAGAGGACATGGGGAATAATTGAAAAAGATAGTCAACGTCAATGATGACGAAACTGAAAATAGTAACTGTAATCTGGAAGCAGGCTTTACAGGGGAGCATCTCGCTGGTTTTACCTGAGAGGCCCGAGAAACTAGAGTGGAGAAGTGGGCTCATCTCCAAAGGCAGAGGAGGGCAGCAGTGCAACGGCGACGGTGAGAGCTGCGCTTAAATCTCAGCGTAGAAGAAGAAGGAAACCCAGCGACGCTGAACTCCAAAGACGAAGAAGACTGTTTATTATGAACTTCACAGCTAGTACCTCGATGGTTTTATGACATGTACTCCAACAAGTTTCGCCGCCTCATGTTAGGGCTGCACTGCCTTAAAACGACCGCTGTTTGTGGCCTGGTCCAGAGGGCCGCTGGTCGAAGCGGGTTCGGCTGGACTGCGGTGTGTAAACAGCGGACACTGTGGCTGCAGAGGAGCGCCTGTCGGGAGATAGAACGACGTGCTGTGCTCCGTCAAAACGGGTATTTAGCAGACACACTCGTGTGGTGACACCTTCCTTTCCAGTGCCACACTGTATAAGAATATTTGGGGGACCGGAAGCAGGGCTAGAAATCAGTATTTTTTTTTTTCAAAAGAAAAAAAGAAACTAAAACTCAGTGAAATTTAGCAGCATACAGCTACTGCTTAGACTAAGAGGTCCGACGAGGCTCACCCTGGTAGCTCTACGACTCTGGACAGCTGATACATAGTGCATCATAAATATGTTACGGAAACAATTCTAATTACTACTCTGAAATTTAATACAAGCATCCTTTTGCATCCAGAAAGATAGTCAGGTTTGTCATTTTGTTAAATGAACTGGACTGATTTGTGAAATGTGTGATGCTCCTCCAATACTCCGATACTTTATAGTCAAAGTATCTTAAAGTTGAGTACCTTTGTGGATGGCTATCATATTAGAAAGGCTTCCAAGCAGATTATCTCTGCACAAACCGATTCATTGCTTACAGACACGATTTTCAGTGTCTTGATGTGTCCTGTGGCTGAACACTTTTCACCATTTTTTTTAGAACACTAAAAATGCTGCCTTTTTCTTTTACTCAAATGATAGCATTTTGAGCATGTGACTTATGCATGAACTAAAAAAACAAAATTTGGCACAATTCAGCATTTGTAAAAATTTGCACGTCACCAGAGATTGCATCATTACCGAACCATTTTACACGTTTTTTTTTTTTACATGTCTTTACTTGGTTTTAGCAAGATGAACTGAATGAAATGGGTACTGAGGGTTAAATACCAGCACAACCTTTTGTTTTAGAATTTGCATTTGCGATTTGCATCTTCAGAAACTATATGTTTGATGTCAGTAGCAAAAGGGCTTGGTATTTTGCTTGTTAGATTAACTCATTTTCTTCAGTTTTACTGCACTCAGTGTGTCCAAAGTATGATGAGCACAGCAGAATGCAAAATACTGGATAGGATAAGAAAAACAGTAAGCTCACATATGAGAGCCAATGATACTGATATTGGTACATAGCCCAACACAGTGCATCCAGAAAGTACACGACTGCTGGTGTTTCATCATGTTACATCCTCATTCCAAAATGATTAAATTCATTATTTACCTAAAAAGATCCACACAATACCCCATAGTGACACGGTTAATAAAAGGTTTGCTTTAAATTCTTTTAAATTTACTAAAAATAGCAACCAAATATGTTCATATATGTATTCAAAGCCCCCGCTATGACACTCAAAATCATGTACATCCTGGTTCCACTGGTCATCTGATGATTCTATAACTTGATTGGAGTCCACCTGTCTAAATAAGGCCCCACAGTTAACAGTGTATGTTGGAGCACAAACAAAGCAAGGAATTGTCTGCAGACCTCTGACACAGGATTTTATTGAGGCACAAATCTGGAGAAGGTTACAGAAAAATTACTCTTCATCAAAAATATCACCATCATCTGTAAATAGAAGTTCTGCCTGAGTCAGGTAGGTGACCAAGAAAGCGATTGTCAGTCTGACAGCTCCAGCGTGGAGAGAGGAGAAACTTCCAGAAGGATAATCTTTTCTCCAGCATTACGCCAATCAGGCCTGTATGGGAGAGGGTCAGACAGAAGCCAATTCTCAATAAAAGGCACAAGACAGCCCACCTGGAGTTTACCAAAAGTCACTTGAAGGACTCTCAGACCATGAGAAACAAAGATTGAACTAAATGCTAAACATCATGTCTGGTGGAAACAAGGTATCGCTCATCACCTGGCCAATACCATCCCTTCAGTGAAGCTTGGTGGTGGTAGAATCATGCTGGGAGATGTTTTTTTGGCAGCAGGAACTGGGAGACTAGTCAGCCTTAGCTTGGATCGCAGACTGGGGCGAAGGTTCATCTTCCAACAGGACAACAACACTAAGCACACAGCCAAAATGACAAAGGAGTGACTTTAGCCAGAGCTCAGACTTGAACATGATTGAAGTTTGAGATCTGAAAATGGCTGTGTACCAACTCCCACTCTGTCCAACCTGATGGAGCTTGAGAGTTTCTGCAAAGAAGAATGAGAGAAACTGCCCAAAGATAGGTGTGCAAAGCGAGTAGCATCAAACTGAGCAAAGACTTTGAATACTTACATGGCATATTTTTTTTTCTATTTTTAATAAAATTGCAAGAATTTCAAGCAAACCTTTTTACTCATTATGAAGTGATAATCAAGTCCATGTTGGAATAAAGCTTTAACATGACAAAATGTGGAACAAGTGAAGTGCTGTGTATACTTTTTGGAATATGTGTGCAAACAGCTCGACTCCACACACTCAACACAGCTGTCGGGCTACTCAGCTGCAGGTTCTGGAGAAGAATTTTGAATCAAAAAGTATAGTGAGATTTTTATTATTTATTATCGACACTATAGAACAGTCTTTTGTTGGTTCCTTGTTTATTTGGCTTGGTTGTTTCTACTTTAATGGCTGTTTTTTGTTTGTTTTTTTTCCACATGCAGCGTTCGGTCAGCTTCTCACAGCACCGTGGACCCTGATGAACTGAGGAAGTTCCAGTCGTTGGCAAACAAGTGGTGGGATGAACAGGGAGAATTTGCAGCTCTTCACGCCATGAACGACCTGAGGGTGCCTTTTATACGGTACACAATCCGCCCGTCAATCTTCATCAGAGGCGCCAACAGATGGTGTCAACGTAACATAACCCAAAGGAAAGCCGGGCGGCCTCGTGGTATCTGAAAGCAACTTGTGAGGATACAAGGAAAAATAAGAGAAATTGAAAGTGACAGGGTTCTTCCAAATATCAGTACATTTTCAGCCAATAGTGTTTCAGCTGCTTTGGCTCTACACGTGTGCATGTTTTGGGGGTCGGCTGGGGCTGTTTTGATTGATAAGATCTGTTGTTCAGGACCCTTTGCTGTAATCATGACAGCCATCCAGCCAAGAGCCCAGTGCTGTGTTCCCCTCCCCCACCCTGGGATCTTCTTGGTGGTGGTGGTGGTGATGATGATGTGTGCTTATGGTGACAGTATGACAGATCTAGTGTCAGTGATGTCTGAGTGGGGATGATTTGCCCAATAAGATTTTACCCTCAGGGCAAGTTGAAATGAGAGACAGCAGCAGTGCTGCCACTGTTGCTGCTGGAGCTCTGCGACTCTGATAGTTCATCCTGCCAGGGTGCCTTATTTTCTTCATTGTTTCAGTGTGTGCTTTAGTTCTGTAATACATGGTGTTGTACACAGACTCAGGATCTGTGCAGATACCCCGTGTAGTAACCAAATGCAATGTCTTTAACAAAACAGGGTTTAGTGTTTGATTTGCCTTAGTTATTAGCAAAATGGTCTATTTTGTCCTCAAAATGTTACACTGACAGCAATACAGTGAATCATAACTATACATGCAATGGTGACAAATTAAAGGAAAAAAATCTGCCCTTTATTGTGAGGAATTCAGAGTTTCCATCATACTTGTCCTCTTATCAAAGGATACAGATTTATGTCCTGATGGGAGTGGTCTTTTCCAATATGGCAGTTGTAACCTTCTGTAGGACATGAGTGGGTCACTGAAAGGTTTGATTATTATGAAAATGATGCGAACCATATGCTACAGTTTTCACAGTCAGCTGATCTCAACGAAGTTGAACACGGAGATATTTGGATCCATATGATAGATGGCTTACTCTACCAGCATCACCAAAGTGAGGGAACACAGTATGATAGGGAAAAAATGTAGAGGTCATTATTTGACTTTTTATTCATTGTGTATGCAAATTTACCTGTGTGACAAAATGTTTACCCACAGTTTCTAAAATATAAAGTTGGAAAACACTCAGAAATACTTCAGGTTTGAGACTGAATTTCTTTTTGGGGTTTTTGGTTCATTAAGTCAAAGTAAATTTTATGAAAATAATCACTGAGTTCATGCTGACGGTAATGGTTTATCATGTGCTGATAGTTCAGCAGTAGCTTTTGTCTGGCTCTGTCTGGGTGGTGGTAGTGCGAGGAGGTAGTTAGATGGATGTAAGTATATTTTGGCACCTTAGCAGAGCTTTAATGACGAGCATGATGTGCAGTCAGGTCTCAGCCTGTTCCCATGTTTCGGGCCTCAGGCAGGAGGCTGTCGGACTGTATATCAGGGAAGGAAGTGAGGATGCTTGTTTGCTGGCTGACACTGTTGCTCGGAGCGATTTGAGAGAAGATGGTGTAATACACCATGGAGTTACCCCTACACTTCCTCATGCTAAGCGGCTTCTCATAGACTTTGGAGGTTCACAATTTCATATCTGCCCACTGTTCTTTTACTTTTAAGCGTTAGGTCTGTTGTAGAGTATTCTGAAATATCTTGAAGACTTGGGAATGGGAGATATATTTTTACCTTGCACAGGGATAACCTGCTGAATGTGCACAGAGCGCGCCATCCCGGGAAGCCACTCGCAGGACTGAAGATCCTGGACGTCGGTTGTGGAGGAGGCCTGCTCACAGAGGTAAAAAGCGTCCGAAAGCTGCAGACTCAGAGCAAACAACAGCGCCAAAGAAAAGCGTCTTTCCTGCTACATATTATCTGTCTGGGCGCAATTGTTTCAATTGCTACCTTTCACGTCACATTGAGTCTTTTCTTCCCTCGTGCAGCGTAAATATGTGCCTTCGATGTGCTTCAGTGCCAGGCTTCTCGCATGCATACGCAGCAGAGCCCGGATAAACATTTCAACGTCAGCCCGGTGCTCGTTCTGCTTTGATCTGACTGGTCACGGCGTGGTGGATCGGACAGTCGGTCGTTTACAGTTGTTTATCTGTTTGTTAGCACTGATAGCTGCATGACTGGGACGGAGCTTTGATGTGAGCTGAGGACTCACCAGCTGTGCTGTGTGATCTCTGAAGACAAAATCAGGTCCTGTTCTTATACAGCTCCGTCACACAGGTTGTCTTATTGAGACACAGACACACATGATAAGAGCGCCTGTTAAGGCTGTGACTGTTATTGTGTGTCTGACCGTCTCTTAGCTAACAGTCCTACCATCACACGGGATCAGCAGCGGAAGGATGGATAACAGGCCCCTGGGCGAAAAAGCTCTTCAGTCAGACTTGGATGTTTAGCTTTTGTCCACAGGAGGGCACCGTTCACACCAAACCCTTATTTAGTGCATGTTCCTGCATATCGCTGCTATGTTTTTCCCCACTCTATTTACAGTGCCAGCACAGCGTCTTGTGGAGATGAAATGATGCTTTACTACCATGATTGATATTGTTTTAAATTTCATGAGTTGTTGTTGTTGTTGTTGTTTTGGGTTTCTTTTACTCAACAACCACAAAATCTCTTGTATTAATTGACATGTTTTAGATATATTATAAAAGCCTAACATTGAATTCAAATAACTCTCATTAGACCTACACTGTGCTGTATTTACCTGCATGTAAAACAACAATCCCCATTTACTAGTTCTTCTTCTTATGAAGATGGACAGGTTATGGATGAGTGTGGATGAAGTGAATGATGGAAGTCAGGAAATTTTCTTTCTCTCATTAAATTTTGTATTCCAGAATTTAATAGTTCATGCAAATCGGTGCCTATTACCCCCCAGTGAATATATTACTGTAGATAAACATAAGGCTTGTGGAAATGTGAGTTCCAACTAGGGCTGGGCGATATGACCCAAAATTCATATCTCGATATTTTTTAGCTGGATGGCGATATAAGATATATATCTCGATTTTTTTTTTTTAAAGCCATAAGTTAAGAACAAAAAGAGAGTTCTTAGTCACACTGTGTCCCAGATGTCACACGGGCACTTTTATTTACATACAGCGTAGATGTACATGAAGAAATTACTCAAAAATAAATTATCAGCATTTATTAAATAATCATGGTCCATAAATAAAAGAAAACAATGTTGTTTTTGTGCATAACAAAAAGCTCACAATTGTGCAGTCAAAATGTAAACTAATAGACGCTGAGCATAATAACAAAGAGACAGATTTCACAGCTGCACCACGTCTCTGAACAGGTGCCATTTGTGGTCCTTATACACACACAGTACGTATCACTCCGCGAGGCTCCTCCTCGGTAGCCGTAATCCTCCGACAATCCATCAAGTGGTGTAGCTCCGTAGCTTAGCAAAGTCATATTAAAACATTTTTTGACAGATTGCCGAGCGCTGTGTACCACATAAAATCGGTTCGCGGTCAGTAAGCACAACCAGAATTCATACATAAGGCGCACTGTCGATTTTTGAGAAAATGAAAGGATTTTAGGCCGTGCAGCCCCTCCTGGCTGCATGTCGTTAGCGCGGTTAGCTCGTTAGCGCGGTTAGCTCGCTAACACGTTGACGCCGTCCAGCCCCACGCACGGTAACTCGCTAACGGAGATTTTCCGCTTTCATCTTGTCATTGCCTGCAGGTGAAGCTATGGGGGAGGGGGAGTTGTGTTCAGTGAAGGAGAGGCGAGGCCGAGTAACGTTGCGTAGAGGCAAAAGTGAACGAAAGAGAGGCAAACCTGCGGCTCCACAAGTATAATTATAACGTAACATAGACTATATCGATATAAACGATATTGTCACATCTTATATCTCGTATGAAAATATATCGATATTTTTAAAAAACTCGATATATCGCCCAGCCCTAGTTCCAACACATAATCAGTGACTTCACAGTCAAATGAGCACAGCATCCTGAAGAAGACAGGTTAGATAACAAAGCAGTAACATTTCAAGTTTGTTAGTACAACATTATTTGTGTGTAAGAGTCAAGTTTTTCTACTAAGACTAAGTAAAATATGAGTTATTGTGATACAGATATATATTTTTTTATAATGCAAGACAAATGTTGCTCATATTGTTAGCTGTTGTGGTTGAACAGTGACTTATTTTTTAAGTATTTAGCATAGTTAATATGATTGATGTATAATGTTATATTTGTCATCCAAAGAGGACAATGAAAAATCGTATTCTTATTCCTCAAAGCTAATGCAACTAATATATTATTCATTTAAAATGTGTGCTTTGTCTACTTTTATCATTTTTAATATGGTTTTGTACTGTCTGTTCTTCTTTTAAGTGAATCGTATTCGGCTCTGCTTTTTTAAAAAAAAGTTTGACGTGCAGTTCTCTGCTCCTCATCCTCCTCCAGCCCCTGGGTCGTCTGGGAGCTAAAGTTTTGGGTATAGATCCAGTGGAAAACAGCATTGGCACCGCCCAGCTGCATTCGTCCTTTGACCCGGACCTATGTGAGCGGGTGTCCTACCAGGTGTGCACCCTGGAAGAGCTCTCAGGAGGAGAGGATGAAGGAGCGGGACACTTTGATGCTGTGGTGGCGTCTGAGGTTGTGGAACATCTGGCTGACCTGGAAACGTTCGCCTTCTGCTGCAGCCAAGTGCTAAAGGTGCTGTTTGTTGTTTTATTGTTTCGTTTTGTTTTTTAATACTTTGACTCTGATATTTGTGTGTTAATACTGCACTTGTGTTTGCATATCAGGTAGAGGTTCCCTCTCTCTGAATTAGACAGTTATGGGTGCCCGAGTCAGCACCGGGCTGGACGGGGTCTGTGGATGACCTGCTGTGTTTTTCTGTGTGTGCCTTGTACTTATCATTGAAAAGTTTCAGTGAAAGCCGTGGTCCATACTGCAGCCTGGGGGTCAGAATCTCCTAGGTTAGTGGGCCAAAAGTAGCTGAGAGGGGGGGGAAAAAAAAGCTTAATACAGGAGGTTAAGTCATGACTGGAATTCTTTCTCTCTCTGGTCTAAATCTTTCTTCTGCACTTTCATTAAAAAAAACCCCAAACACAATAATGTTTAATATTTAGTATTTACTGTTATATTTCCATATATCATCGTGATGTTGTTTATTGTATTGCTCTCGTTTTCTTCTGCTTGTTTTCTTTTTTCTTTCTCAACAGGTGATCCAGGTGATTGGTATATGTATTTTTGTTTTGTTTTTTCCCCTTTATCCCCATCCCTCTTCTCCGCTGTTTTTTTTCACCCTCTTCCTTTCTCCCTTTTCTTTTCTTCATTCAAGTCTGTCCCATATCTAGCAAGTGAAAATAAAAAAATAAATTAAATAAACAATAAAAGGTGAATCAAATAGACCATTACGGCAAGGCTGGGATGGTCAGTTTGGTAAAGTAAATCCGTTGGGCATCTTTCCTCGCCTTTAGACAATAATTCTGATGGCAAAAGAGCCAAACGGGACAGGCGAAAAGAGGAAAAAAAAAAAACCCCAAACATTTAAATGTACTTTTCTTGACCACGCATACATATATTTTTTTGATGCTCATGCTTTTATTTATTTTTTCTCTCCCCTTCTGTTCAACCTATTTTTCTTGGCCTTGTTGAACTTTGAGGTTTGGCATCCTTCCAGATCTCGCGCGCTGGATTTTGTCCTCTGAAAGCCTTAAATCCATTCTATAAATACCCTGCTGCATCTCGTAGAAGAGCTCCTCCCTTGTATATCACCTGCAGAGGTGTCATGAAATGTGTTTCCAGAAGTAACGCAGTCTATTTAATTTATATTTCATGAATCAAACCTTTCCATTTTTGCTCCCTGTGTGCAGCCAGGTGGCTCACTATTCATCACGACTATAAATAAAACCAACCTGTCCTACGTGCTGGGCATTGTTGTAGCGGAGCAGCTGCTGCGCATCGTGCCCGACGGGACCCACGACTGGGAGAAGTTTGTCAGCCCAGTAGACCTGGAACGCCTCCTGGAGTCTCGTAAGTCCCTTTGGAGGGAGGAAAAAAAAGAAGCTCCCACTGATTATAGAAAACAGACTAAAAATGCAAAGGTTTTTTTTTTTTAATAATTAAGTGGGCAAATCTATGTGGAACTAAGTAAATATACCATATTACAAAAGGTCGCTACAAGATGTAAAAAAATTTTTTAAACAGCAGTAAATTTTGAGGATTTCTGTGTCCATAAATTGTCTGCAAAGCTCATTTTATAATTCGTGTTCAGGAGTAGTGCAAAAATAAAAATCTAATTTTGCCTTTTGTGTTGACATCAGTGTCTTCCTTCTTTGTTAGATGGTTTCTCGGTGCAGTCTGTCAAAGGAATGCTGTACAACCCCCTGTCGGGAGCCTGGAGCTGGACCGACAGCACTGCCATCAACTACGCCCTCCACGCCGTCAAACTGAGAAAACAGGCTGAGGACAGCAGCCTCCACCCAGAGGACCACACCATAGAAAGTAGCAGCTGAGCCACGCCACTTGAGAAGAAATCCAAAAATGAGAAATAATAACTCAGACGCGAGCGGCCCTGACATCCTGTCGGCCAGCTGTGACGCAGCACATGAGACTGAGTTTATTCAAGGAAAGGGACAAACTGCCTGCAGATAGAATTAGAGATGTGCTGCATTTGGCAGACCCATTGATGCTGTGCTGTGCTGCGTGAGCGCTGAATACATGTCTAGTGTTTGATAAGCTGTGTAAAGCAACGGTGCATCCTTTAATTGTGTAATCATTTTCAGCATATGCTGTCCTGCGTCAGTGTGGTGTTTGAGGCTGAATAGTTAAAGGTTTGCAACATCCTCCATTAAAACTGACCTCACATCAGTTTGATTTCTCAAGAATGAACGCATGAGAGTGAAAAATGTGATTATTTGGAATGCTAACAAAAAACAAACAAACATGATTTCGGGTTTTTAGATGTTAATATTAATTTATATTTTGTGTCCACAGAGGGGAGGGGCAACCATTTCCTGTGGGATTTTAAGGGGTCTGGTCTCATGTGGAAGTATTACATAATACAGATCTCCCTCGTGCAGAGAATAAGTCATGCTTGCATGATGGTCTTAAAGAGACCAGAAATATGACTGTAGAACATGTGCAGAAGCTAACAGAGCACGCTGTGAGGACTGAGCACTACACCTATTTCAATTTCAGATATGTTGACATTTCACCGGTTTAAAAAAAATAAATGCTCTTTGTATATACATATTTTAAAAAGAACTCTCCCTCTCACCCTCTGGGGGGTGGTATGTGTGTGCTCCTCACGTTCAGGTCCTCTACCAGAGGCCTGGAAGTTAGAGTGCTCTGTGCAGTGTCTTAGCTGGTCCTTGGACTGCACTCTCCTGGATGGAGACCTTTGATGTTGTGCCTGGAATCTGCTCAAGCTAATTTTCCAGCTCCTTTATGCTTCTATTACCACTAGGACCACTTTGGATTTTACCTTCCACATCTGCTCCAGATGTTTCTTCAGCACCTGGTTCTCCATTTTCTTGTGCTCCTTTTTCCCGATGTTGCTGTCCGGTAGGATTACAACATCTATGACAACTGCGGTCTTCTGTTCCTTGTCAACAATCACTACAATACTGCTTGGTTTGCCAGCAGCTTCTATGTGGAAGTGGAAGTCCCACATGACCTTACTCCTGTTGTTCTCAACCACCTTTTGTGATTGAGGACTTGGGGACTTCTAGTCCATATGCAGCACAGATGTTCCTGTACGCTATCACAGCCACTTGGTTGTGCCTCTACATCTATGCAGTTCCAGCTTGCTTCTTACATCCTATTACTATATGTTGGATAGTCTCTGGGGCACCTTTGCACACTGTTCAACTTTGTTCCCTTTGTAGACTCAACCCTCTATCTGATGCCTAGAGCCTATTCTTGTGCTGCTGTGTTAGAGACTCTGCGCTGTGCTTTAAGTCTGTGTTGTGCCAGAAAAATGATTTCAGGAATTTGCCCCAAAATGATTGTCTATATTTAAACTGTTTTAAATGACTTGTCAACCCACAGTCTGTCAAACACATGACAAGCATGTCTCTTAAGAATGATATCAAGCCATTTTGAGCCAGAAATAAAACAGTCCTGTCACAAGGTAAGAAGCTGCAGTCGGTTTTTGGCAAAGTGACTTTTATGTATCCTATATTTATCTAGGTAAAGAGCGTCATTGACATCAAAAATGTCTTTTTCACGAGCGATCTGGCCAAAAGTGCCATTTAAAAAAACAAAAAGTGTCATAAAGATGCTTCCTGGTGTCAAAGTCGTTTCCTCTATCTGCCGACAGTATCTCTATGTGTGTGTTTACTAAATGCCTTGCTCCAGCAGTGCCTGCTGTGTCATATTCCCAGGCTGGTTCAGCAGTAAACACCAATACACGCTCCTGCTGTAATGCGCGCTCCCGAGAGCCACGAGGCCGCGCGTTTAACTTGCCGTAGCCATGGCTGCGGTAAGCACTCACCCTCCTTCACTGACCTGACGGGGTCAGACAGCAGCAGGCAGGTAATTGGCACCAGGATGATACCGGCGGACACGTAACTACTGGATGTTCTTTTGTCCGAGTTGTCTACATCCTGTTCTCGGCATGCTCGACAAACAGATCTGGAACTCACCTGCTGGATTAAAGCGTCAGGATGAACGAAGTCTTCCACTTCCAAAGTTGCTCCAGAGTGAGTACTCCTTCCTATTAGTGCATTTACCACTAAGTTATACAGTTAGACTGTAAGTAGAGTCTATACCCACAGCACACCGCGGTCACAGCACAGTTGGCATAGTGGATTTGCAATCCGTGTCTTACTTTTCTCGTTTGCGTAATGTGCTTCAGTGTGATTGCACAAACACACTGCACTCCATAGAATTAGCAGTCTGTAGTAGCTGAAGCGGAGCAGTCAGTCGGTTGGAGGCCGCTTAAAATGTAGAAGCGGAGCAGAAGGGCTTATCATCATGTTTGGCTGCTGTTGGCCAATAGTTTGTTTTCGTGGTGGTGAGTGAGTCTCTGCGTTCAGGGGCTCGCCAGGGCGGGGTGGCTCCGATCCTCCACCGGAGAAAGACAATAGGCCGGCTGCATGAAGTAACCGGCATTTGATTAGACAGCAACGGAAGTTGCCCAACTTTGCCACAAAAATAAAAGGACTGGGTAATTCTTTTTTGCGTTTCTAGCCCTCTTTTTACCTTGATCTGATGATCAAAATGTACACTCCACTACACGTAATATGTGCTGTGAAAGTTATTAAGTTCTACAGGTGTTAATCACATAAGTTTCTTAGCAGCTCTATGCAGAACTTAATTAGATCAATTGCTTCTCTTTCTTGTAAACTCTCGTTTCTATGGTGGGGATTGGACAACATCTTTTTGCAAACCAAGTGTATCTGACTAAAGCTCTTTGAGAGACTCAAAAAACCCCCCAACAACCTGGAACTAAACATGTAGACGTAGCTTTGCACAATTCACAGTTCAGATTAATTCATGTTTATCTTAGTCTGTCCCTTGAGAAAAAAGGAAGCACCCATTAGTACCTCGAAACTTTGGTCAGATGGGGATCTGCCATATAAACAGAAAATAAGGGAATACATGATGGGCCTGCTTTAAGCTTTTTCCATTATTTGGAAGCAAAACAGCCAAATAATCTTTGGTCCCAGCTACTTTAATTTGTTTTTGCTAATAATAAATTAAACCTATTTATTTGGTCAGACAAATCAGATAATGATTCGACTACTTTTAAACGATTAAAACATTTCATGAACAAAAATGAATAATTTAGTTTATATCATGTTCAGATTTACGATAGAATTCCATTCACATGATATGTGATGGAAAACTAGCAATAACTAACAGCCACTGTGTACGGTTATTAAGAGCAGAAAATGTTATTTTGCAAGTAAAATATTAGGTGCAAAAAATGTAATTGTAACAGTGTGGACACTGACATTTATTTTGAAATTAGGGACCGGAAGTCGCGGTGTTGCCATTGTTATTCGCGCGATAATGCTGGGCAGATCCTGCGAAGGAAAGCGAGCTGGCTGCCGAGCCTCATCTCAGGGAGTGATGTTCCAGATATTTACCTTTTCCGCTTTCCTGGATCAATATTAGCCACACCGCCGCCATGCCGTAGACACAGCGCCGGGGGTCTCGATGAAGCCTAACGGGGACTGCAGCAGGGAGGACGCGGGGCGGCTGTAACCGAGGGAAGAGGATGTACTGGGCTGCTGGTTTCGCCTCTTCCCGGCCGTGTGTTGTTGAACTGGGGCGGAATCACAGCCTGCCCATCGGGCTGTGCGGCTCCGAGCAGCAGCAGTCGTTGTATGGCTATATCATCGCCTTTCCTCTGCAGGATTACGGAGGCATCATGTCGGTTTTGGGCTCGGACTCCTGGTGGAAGAAGACCCTGTACATCACCGGGGGGGCCCTGCTGGCTGCTGCAGCCTACCTACTGCATGAGCTGCTCGCCATCAGGTAGGGACGCGCAACATTCCTGAGCTCTTTATCATCTTTATCACCACCAGGTTTCTGTTTGTTTGTTTGTTTGTTTGTTTGTTTAGTATTTCTTTTGCCTCCCGGGGCTCACGTTTTGATCGCACCCACCCCCGCTGACAGTGACTGATGAGTGACACCGCATAAAGCATTATGGATACAGGAGTGTGTACATGGGGATGTGGTTCCTCTGCAGCTCTCGCGGGAAGAGGCTCTTGCTGAGGTTGCCGTCCCTCGTTTTCTCCTTCAAAGGACACGACACTAGGTGGAGACTTAAAAAAATAATTAATAAGCGAGTCACGCGTCCGCTCGTGTGCCAGTTCCCGTGCGGAACACATCGGCACCTGAGCGTGTCTAAACGAAGCGCTCCTCGGACGCTGCGGAATCAGCCTGACCTTTAATGAGCTGAGACACAGCAGCTGTCCGCGTCATTTACAGTTGTTTTCTACAATGAAAGCTGGTGATCAGTATGCGGTCACTGTAAGAGAGATTAACACGGGACTATTGTCAGAGCACAGACCGCCTGGCTGTGAATGGACGGATTATTTATTTTTTTCGGCCAGGCCAGTGCCAGGAAGTAAGAACATCCTGTTACAGTGGCCTGGTAGTTTCTGCTTTCACTCCCCCTCCTCGATCCACAAGCTGCGTGAACCGTGCATTTCGTGCAGAAACTCTGAATCACGTGCAGGCCGCTGAGGCTGGCCCCGCAGCCTGCCGGCGTCATCTGTCCGTGCCATGTGATGTATTGTTGGCAGAGCTGCTGCTACGACTAGTCAGCTTTTGTTCTCCTTTTCCCAGCTGAGAGATCTTTGAGAAGTTCTTTAAGTGGTTCCTCTGAGAGACGAAGCACCACAACGTGCATGGAAGAAGGACGGCATGCGTAGATCAGGCGTAATAATATGATGTCAGTTTCTCTGCAGATTTAGAATATTTTCAGCACCATGTAACTGTGGACAGCTACCAAGGAGACCTGCAAGGTTTCAGCACCACAGTCAGCTCAAGTTTATTTATTTAGCATCACAACCAACAACTCCTAGCCACCACTGTGACAATAGAGAGGAAGAGCTCCCTTTAAACAGGAAGGAATCTCCAGCAGAGCAAAGTTTAGGAAAATCAAAAATATTTGCTCTGATCTCAGCCGCAAACAGGTCAAACCACAAGCTATGGGAGAGACTAGACAAAAGTTAATGGCATGCACTAGATTTATTTAAAAAAAACAAAAACATGGGGAGTGAAAAAAGGTGAGTGTAGTTTGTAGCTGCCTCCACCAGTGTATGAATGTGAGAGTGAATGAATAGTGGTATTGTAAAGCGCTTTGGGTGCCTTGAAAAGCGCTACATAAATCCAATCCATTATTATTATTATTATTAGTAGAAATGTTTAGTGCATCATGGGAAGTCCCCACTGCAGCCTTAGCCTGCCTTAGCCCTAACTACAAACGTTATGAAAAAAATAAGAATTTGTCGTCATGCAAGCATGAATTTATATTTTCTGCAGAATGTGGTTTACTGAAAATAAGCAAGGCCTTCCCTGAGAGAAAATAAAAGGCTTGTTTGGATGGCAGCATACGTTGCCTCAAAGCACACAATGCACACAACCACAGATGCTGGCACTGAAATATGGACTGATAGTAGATTGAGGGATTGCTCTTTTCTTTATATTTTAGGATGGAGCATCCATGACAGTTTAATCTCATAAGTTGTGAAACACTCAACCAGCTGTGTGTTGTTGTTTTTTTTTTTTAAACAATCTTTTGTTGACTTGGGGTTTTTGAAACATGTTGCTGATATTAAATTAGAAATGAACATATTATTTTTTAGAATATAATAAAATATAAACTCTGTACTATCCTGTAAAAACAGATTTGTATTTAGTTTTTGTTTAGATAACATCCAGCCTGGAATGGGGTCAAGTTGCCAATTACATGGAATCAGTTTCTGATAATACGGTAATTAACTGTGATCAAGTGTTACAGTGATAAATTGTTCACAGTCAAATATCTGTTGTTACAAATGAATTCGTGTGACTTAGTGATTCGCTTGCTTAGCATCGTCAAGCTAACTGTGTCCAGTATTGGATGGTTTTTCGTTTTGTTTTGTTTTTTAACGATGTATTTATTGAGTTGTTTTATATTGCAAAAGTTCAGCTGATTTCATGTGAATTTGCTCCGCTAACCTTATCTAATGCTGGTGCTACATGATATGAGCTCTCTTATTGTAGTGTTTCCAGAGTATTTTAATTTATTTAATAAAATATAGATATTTGGTGTCCCTTTATTGATACAATAGTGCCATGCAAAATATTGCTCTATCATTTTTTTTTCTGTCACCCTAAAAGTGGCCTGGGTAAAAAATTTTATTTTACTTATTTTTGTCTTAATGTACAGAAATACGTTTTTTTCCCCTCTGAATAATTAAAAAACGACATCATGTTGTAATGTGATCGTAAAATAGGATAGAACTCAAAAGAAAAGCAACCATAATCTATAATATAATTTCCACAAACCTAACTCTAAAAAAGGATGGTTAAAAGTGGAGTAAGTGTTGTCAGACCGCTTTGCAGTTACACAAATTTATTCAAATATAGGGAGCAGTGGTCAGTGATAAAAGAGATGCTAAACGGAGCAGATGGGGTCTGTGTGTGTGTGTGTACCTGAGATGATGCCTAAAAGCTTCTTCAGGAATAGAAATAGATGCCCAGATGAATGTGTAACGTGATTAGGAAAGCGGTGTAGTAAAATCAGATTAGATGTAGTTTTTTTCCCCTGTGCTGATGTGTTAGGTGTAGTTTTATTTCTCTGGTTGCAAAAAAGGTCTTAACTCTAATTGCCATATTAGATAGCATTGAGACACTCCTCAACTACAATTTTAGCACGGTAATAGCAGTGTAGGAATACCACCAACATCCTCCCTGCACAATTGCATTCTAGCTTATTATTATCTTAAGTGTCTTTAGACAGCAGGCCTACAGTACAGTGGGAGGAGAGATGACTCATTTAGTCAATATTCTGACTTATAACTGAAGCTCTTAATACCCCTCGGCTAATACAGTGGAGCAGTGTAAATACAACTTTGTGGATTTTAAGCCTTAGGTAGCTCAGCTGCTCCTTGTTTCACAGAACGATCTATCAAAGTGGAAATAAAATTTCTAGTCTTGACAATCACTTAAAGAGTTTTAATGGAGTATAATAACAGCTAGTGATGCCAGTATATCTCAAAACACTTAAAGTCACTTGAAGTACAGACTCATTATGTAAAAGTTAGTGACCTCAGTGTGAATAAAGAAAGTGTTGTTTTTTTGGTTCCTTTTAATACTTATTTTCATTTATTGTTAGTTTTATTTCTTGTATATGTTATTGTTTATTTTATTTATAGTTTTCCATGTTTTACTGTGATTTATATTATTTTTTTCCTTTTTGTTTAATATGTTTGTTTAAATCTTGATGTTGTCTTTTAACAGGAAAGCACTTTGGTCAGCTGTGTTGTTTTTCTGAAGTGCTCTATAAATAAAGTTGGATTGGGATTCATTGGAATTGTTTAACATAATAATTTTTTTTTTTTTAAACTTGCAAAGAAAACAGAACTCGGCACGAATAGTGTGTCACCATGCTAGAAAGAAACTGCAGGTGTGACCTACTCCTCACAGGGAGGTTGGCCAGAGCCTGAAGCTGAACTCAAAGTCCTGTTTTCTGTCCAGATGCTGAGTTACGTTTGGTTTTATCTCACTGGCCCCACTGCACCAATTGACCCTGAAAACAGGTGGAAAAACCGGTTGATTTCGGCTTCGCTGGGTTAAAATGAAACATTTTTAGGCAGTTTTTCCTCTTGGTATCTATGCATAGTTGGAAAGGCTCGAGACACCAAAGCATACTTTCATCCACACAGAATAGATGAAAGTATGCTGTTAACGTTAACACTGGCACAAAATGTACAAAATGAGACTATGTTAGCGAGTTTAAGAATGGTCTTTAAAGAGGTATAACGTTTACAGGTACAACATTTATTCATTGAGTTTCCCCCACCTTTGGTTTCTATGTAGGAAGGAGCAGGAGTTGGACTCCAAAGACGCCATCATCCTCCATCAGTTTTCCAGGCCAAAGAATGGTGTGCCCAGCCTCTCGCCCTTCTGCCTCAAAATAGAGACGTATCTGCGGATGGCGGATCTGCCCTACCAGGTGATAACAGAGAGGGGAGGGGGGTGTTTCTGCCTCTGAAGAGTTGAAGTTGTTTTTCTCTTCAGCCATTAATAGCTACTTCTGTTGCACAGCCTTAATGTCTCTCTTCCATCAGCATCAACACTGGGTAGCACAAGCTAATGGCAGCTTAGAAATGGGGTCCCATTTGTCAACAGCTTCCATATAAGGACAAAAACAATGAAAGCTGTTGGACGTGACGGAGTTGAAGATCTTAAGATTTTAGTTGTTAATGACCATCTTGGTTGCAAAAAATGGATGCAATGAGGAAGACTGGGTCTGACTTTGAAACCACATGCTTATTATGGATGATGACTTGTGATTTACAGCTTGTTAGTCAATGATTGTGTAGTTTCATGCCACAAATAAGTCTCCATTTTCACATAGGTCTACAGTCTCTTTGTTTTGTTAATAAAATGTACACACAGCCCAGGAAATTCATGTGCAAAGTTGTTTCCCTTTGCAGAACTACTTTGATGGCAGGCTATCTCCGCAAGGTAAGATGCCCTGGATCGAGTACAACCACGAACAGGTGTCGGGGTCAGAGTTTATAGTGGACTTCCTGGAGGAGAAGCTGGGTGTGAACCTCAACAAGAACCTCACCCCACAGGAGATAGCTGTGTCCCGCGCTGTCACCAAAATGGTTGAGGAACACCTCTACTGGTAAGTAAGTCGTATAGTTATACAGTGCTTTAGCTGTGCCTTTGAAAGGCTTTTAAGAGCTAAGACTTCAGGCACTTTAAATGGAAAAGCCACTGTCAGATCATTTTAAAGACCAAAAGCAGTTCTCTGTTTCTACAGTTTGATTTAATTATTGCACTTGAGGGGTGAAATTATGTGGTGCTGAGTTGATTATGTAATTTTGTGTGTATGCATTCATATTTAAATGCACACTTTAATGTGCTCAGTGCTAAACCATATGAGGAACCACCTACACGGATCCTCCCGGGAAAAAAGGTCCAATTTATTTTAGCAGCAAGAAAAAAAAAAGACACACTGCAGATTTATTCTAAAAACAAAAAAGTAAGATTATTTGTGCATTGTTTGTGCAGCTTTTCAGCCCAGGCTGTGATATCTGCCATCCTTCGCAGCAGTGAGTCACTCCAGGATCACTGGGGGAGAGACATGCTGCTAGGAAATCGTTTTCCACACTCCATCTACACCGAGAGGAGTGTTTTCCATTACCTAAAAGCTCTCTCTCTCTCTTTCTCTATCCATCCCCCTCACAAAGGCGCACGCACATACACACACTAACTCGGTTTGATCCATGTGGTATGGCCTATTGCTCTCTATATAATAATTTTAGAACACAATTTGAACTACTCATTGGTTTTAGTTCACTTATAAAAAAGGAACAACGGATGGAACAATTTGCTGGCTTTGTGTTATAAACTGAATCTGCTCCATTTCTCAAAAAGCAGCAGAGGTCATTCATGTAATCTACATTCACGCTCCCTCCCGTCTTGTCTCCTTGTGTCACCTCCCTGCTCCTCTTCCTCTGCTTGTCCATGCACCCTGCACCAAGTTTGGACCCACATATAGACCTATTGAGTGAATTATTTATTTCAGGGAAGGGCAGCATGACAGCGTGCTGCTCTTTGTGTACTGAGACACAGCCTAGAGATAGATTTGGTTAGATCGTGCACACAGAGAGTTGCCTTCCTGATTCATAGTGGCATGGTTATAGAGCAGAAAATGTTCTCAAAGCTAGCTTTACTATTATATACTCATTTATTTTGCTGTGCTTTTTAAAAATACAAATCTGTTAATAACTCTGTAATACCAGAAAAGGATCACTCAACTATACTTTAAAGTAGACATACACAGACAACTAGTGTTAGCAGCTGTGATCCAGTGAATGTCAAAGAGGAATCTCAAGAGTAAAACTGGGCATAAATACAACTTTAAATTGAGATTAACCTTATGCTGGATATTTAAATGTCCAACTGTTTGCAAACACAGCAGGTATAACCGCGGATTAAAGGGGGATTCGGCAGGAGGAGGAACTCTAAGATGGGCTGTAACACATCTATGGTGAAAAGAATGAGTTAGAAATAAGTCACGCAGTAAAATGATTTGTTTCGTGAGCTCCATTGGATTTTTCTTTGTGTGCAGGCTGTGATTGGCTGACTTGGGCTGCTGCTCTGATATTCACTGCTCTTTGTGGATTTAGCCAGCAAAGTTCACTAAAATACTGTATAAGTAGATGTTTCATAAGCTTTATGGCTAAATGGCCCCAACTCCTAGACACTATAAAGCTAGTATAAAAGCCATAGTTCACAGAGTGAATCTAATCGGCATCATTACCCATCATTACCAAAATGATCCCTGCCACCCTCGGTGTAACCAGTCCGATGTACTGTTTAGCCTGCACTAAACCGCCAGGTATTCCCATGCAACCCTTGAATAACACTGTTTATTTGACAAGAGGTTTCAAAAAATGTAATTTAGTACAGCATCAGACATGTATCTGATTATAAAACTCTAAAATCAATGATGGCATTACATGTAAGATTTAAATTTCCTGTATGGAAACTTTCTTGTATTGAGCAGCCAGAACTTTTGAAAACAGTCATCCTTCATCCATCCATCTTCCTCTCTTTCTTGCATCCTTCTCCATCTGTCAGGATCACACATTAGCATTTTTTTCTCTCCCTGGGAAATACTGCAACTGCAGCTTTATCTTGAAAATGCAGTTTGTGGCGAACTGCACAGAAACATTTGCAAAGGTTGCATTTGAAATTACCTGGGGATTAAAAATACTCTATTTATGCTTGCTCCTCTTCTGGTTTGTTTGTTTGTTTGTTTGTTTGTTTAAAGAATACAGACACTTTGGACATCAGATAATATAACAGGAAGTAGCATTTGGCCAATGGATAGTCCCCACTCTGAAAATTAATATAACCCAGATTCTTTAATTCAGTTTCTATTGAGCAACCAGTCACATACAGCAGAAAAATGACAGAGGCCAGGCACTGGCCTTTAGATGAACTGAGGGGTAAAAGCTCTAACCCATGTAGGTAGAAACATGTAGGTCTCCCCTGCACTTGTACTATTATCAACAAACAGCTTGGCTGTCATTGAGTTCTGTTGTTGAGCCAAAAAAAAAAAGAAAAAAGCACCAAGCCCAACTTCTTCACTTCTTCAGACTTTTTCAGATCATAAACAGAAAGAAAAAAAAGTCCTACAGTGTGAAAAGTCCAAGTGTGTAAGAATGTAACAGCTTAATCATAGTATCTGGATACACAGACAACTTATGCAGAACAGAAGCAACAAATGTATGAAATACCAGAGTTGCTGTTTTCATTGTCTTTGTTTTATGGAGTGAATTCATGTGAAACATTTGTCCTTTGGTGGTTTCACAAGGGATTTTGAGGGTTTGAGTTGGGTTTGTTTGCTTGTAAATAAACAGGATTTGTTGGACCACAGTGTGAGAAAAATCTCAATATAGAGATACACTATATGCTGCCATTTCTGCAGCATTGCTTTCTTTTCATGAGTAACTGTAAGTTGCCGGTGCTTTGCAGCAGTAGGCGTCTATATTTTATCACGAGCAGCAGGAACGGATTCCAGGCATTTCTTTCAACCCTCAGGCCGACAGTTTGAAGGGCTGAATATACGATGTTGTGTTCTGGCAGCAAGTGAATGGGTGGAGCACTTTTATTGATTAAGTTGAGGCTAATTGTCATTAGACATAAAGCTTTACGATGCAGTGGCTGGACCTTTCATTAAACACTTTTATTGGAATCCCACTCTAATTCACTTTGACTCAGCATCATAGAGTAAAATATTACTGTTGGTCCTTTGTAAAATTCTGGTTTGCCACCATATTCAGTTTTAAAAATACAGCACTAGACTGGAGAGATGAATAAACATGGCTCTTCTTTCTTGTATTAGTGTAGTTTTTGGTTTTACTTGAAACGGATCTAATGATTTACAGATCTTTAATACAACACAACATGACAATGTTTCTGCAAAGCAGGGGTGAAAATGCCAAAGTGAACACAGACACGCAGTCACTGAACTAACTAAATAAGATTTAAGCATTAAGGCATTAAAGCTGTTTTTCCTTGTTTTTGCTTTATTTATCTCCTTTAAAAACAGCAGTATGAACAAAAACATGCTTTTGGAGAACTGTTATATCCCTAACCTTTTGTATGTGATAATTTTATGTTTAAATATGTGTGCTAATATTGATGGTGTTATACCTTCTAGCATGTTCTTGGTACATGAATTGTATGCTGAGTGGGATAAGGTTTTTTGGCTGTGTAGAAATCATTTTGTATGTTCAACTATAAATGATACAAATGAACTGATGGCTCAAAGACTCAGTTTCAAATGCGGTTTGTTCTTTTTTTGAAAAGACCACGATGATTTTAGACCAACATTTGGAATACTTTTTGATCTTGAGCTAAGTAAGTACAGGAAGAGTGTAAGAAACTGACAGACTGTAGGTGTAGCTGAGGCTCACTTTTGATTTAGAGGAGTAGCTTTTTGCCAGCCAGTGTAATCGTAACACAGTGTTGTCTACATTGTGTTTTCCTTCAGGACAATAGCCTACTGCCAGTGGGTGGATAACCTGGAGGAAACACAGAAGCTGCTGGCGATGAGTGGGCCTCTGAGTGACACGCTGAAATGGATGCTTAGCCACCTGAATGGTGGCATGGTGCGGCGGGAGATGTACGGCCACGGCATCGGACGCTTCTCCAAGGAGGAGGTCTACACACTGATGGAGAAGGACATGAGGACACTGGCCACTCTACTGGGTACGGACGCCTGTTCAGTAGAACTAAGACTAACCTCATCAGGACTGTGGTTATAGAGCGATACGCTAATGCTGTTATGCAAGCTGATAATGGAGCTAGTGTTATTTCTTTTTTCCATTGGCTGCAATGAAAATACATGAATTTGTTATTGTGAGCTGATATTTCTCAAAATATTCACAAGCTCCTCTTAATTGGTTTATATTTATCAGAACAAAATGTCATTTATCTGCATTTTTGCACTTGAATTTTATTGAGGTACAGACAGTAATAAATGAAAACAGAGAACGTTCTGGATGTTAGCTGGAGGGATGCAATATAAGTGTGTTTAGAATAGTGCTTTGCATCGATCTGCTTGTGTCATTACAGCGAACAACAGCTTGTATAAAATGGAAAAGTCATTCCCGAGTGAAAACATTGGTACACTCCACAACCATGTGGCTTCCGTCTTTTAATGTTTGTTACACACAAGTACCAGAAGTGTTCATCTAAAATCTGGCATTTTAACCAGAAGAGCTGATTTCCCAACTTCAAAATGAAATTAGTTTACTTTGAAGTTTGCTCTCTGAAGGGCAAGAAAAGCACACAAATACTGAGCAACCTTTCATTAACCTGCCTTCCTGTAGTGTTTTGGTTTCCCTCTGCATTACTGGAAGTGTTTACAGGTTACATTAAAAACATCTCTAATGGCATTGATGATGATGTGTATAAGAGCAGGGATTCCCAACCAGGAGAGATGTCAGCAGCTGCCTGGGGTACTCAAAGATCACAGAGTATTTCCACTTATTTGAAAAATTTATGAATAAATTGAACAAATTTAAAAACAAAAGTAAAAAGAAGTTCATTTCAGTTTTATTTATATAGCACTAAATGACAAGTTTCAAGGCGTTTTATATTAAAGTAAAGACCCAACGATAATAAAGAGAAAACCCCAACAATCAGACAACCCCCTATGAGCAAGCACTTGGCAGAGTTGGGGGGGGGGAAAAAAACATCCAGCAGAACCAGGACAAGTTGGGGGTGAGGGGAGGGAGACGAGACAAAAGACACACTGTGGAAGACAGGCAGAGATGAATAATAACCGATGAAGAGAAGGCAGTATGGGAGAAATATGCTCTGTCTTTCTAGTCAGTGTTAGCACTCTCTGCAGCAGTTCAAAATGTGCTCGGTGAAATGTGTTTAGGTGGGGGGAAAAGTATCCAAAAACAACCGTGAACTAAGATTTAGTGCTAGTGATAGATCATTTTGTATTGTAATCTTAAAATAAAGCCGTTCACACACCTGATGCATCAAATTTGTACTGATATTTCATACATTAAGATGGATATTGAAATGGTAAAATAATACTATTTTACCTCAGGCACACAGCTAGACACTGCTCTGGCTCTTTGAAATGATTTCTGTCTCCTCAGATGTGATACTGACTCTGCTAACAAGAGCTTAAACTGCCCCACTGACATCCTATATGTATAAACATTACATGACCAGCTCATATCCCAAGAATTCGGAATATAACATTTTTTTCCCAGCACACTCAGTGTGCAAAGGTCTTAATGATAAACATCTCAAAAAGTGAGCTAAAGGTAGTTCATGAAGTCAGTTAGTGCATCAAAAAAGCTCAAAGTAAAGCGAAAACTGTTGGTTTACAAACACCTTCTGCCAGTACAAGTGGAATGAAAATCATCTGTAGCAAGAAAGCTTTCAACAACACAGATGGAATGAGTTGCAGAGTTGAAAAAGGAGTACTTTAATTTGGTTTTTGATATCTATTATGTGTCTGTGTGTGTGTGTTTGGTTACTTTGTTTCTGTTATTGATTTGCAGCAGGTAAATCATCACTGTAAAAACTGATTTGTTTTAAAGTCTTCTCAGCTCTGCATTAACATGCCACAGCAGATTACTAACAGCCAACATGCCAGTACTGGTGAACAGGGACAGTATCAGCTGGCCAACTTGTTGCTTCATCGCTGCTTATTAATGTTACTAATAGTTTTAATTTAACCATCTTTAGCTGCACAGTGCTGTGGAAGTTCTCGTATATTCCCTTTATCGTTGCTTGAAATTGCTGTTTGTTTTCTGTCTTGCAGGAGATAAGAAATACTTCATGGGGTCTAAGATGTCAACATTAGATGCTACAGTGTTTGGGCATCTAGCTCAAGCCATGTGGACTTTACCTGGAACACGACCAGAGCAACTTATCAAAGGTCAGAGGATCTATTCAGTAATTGCAAATCAACACATACATGCTGTATTTTATCACAAGTTTTTGTATATTACCTTGTCCTTGCAAAATTTAAGCATACTTGTGAGATGTTTTCACTGGTGCATTTTTATGTGTAGTCCACTAGATGGCAGTGCTGTTCTGCTGCAGTGCAGTGCTGCTTACACAAGCTCAGAGAGCAGCTTTAAAGTCTCACACAGGGAACACTGAAGTCTTTTTATCTTTTCAGAGAACAGCATCAGAGCTTGATTCTGTGTTTTAATCCATAATTTGTGATCAAGGTGATTGTGGGAAGAAAACCGGACACAAGAAAAGACTAACAAAGGCAGTAAGCACCTGTGATACCACCTGCTGGTTTCTTCTCTGTCTTCAAAAAGATTTACATGTCTCCACAGGAGAGCTGATCAACTTGGCCATGTTCTGCGAGCGGATGCGGAGGAGGTTCTGGCCCGAGTGGTTTGTTGAGGTGGAGGATTTTTACTACGACGGAGACAGCGAGAGCAGCAGCGGGGGCACCCCCACGGGCCTGCTGGACTTCGGCCTCTTCTCCAGGACTGACACGCTGGACGACAGCGATGGCAGCAGCCACTCAGCCGGACGCACGCACACACATTCCCCCGACTCTGACCGCTCGCTATTTGATTCGGACGTGGGCACAGGGTCTGACAATGATGCTCAGTTTAAAGAGGAGTCAATGCCAGACCTGGAAGTTTGACCTAGGCAGACTGAGACTGACCGAAGGCTAGAACAGTCGGTGCTACAGGCTGCTGTGTGGTTTTGCTTAAATAAATCTGGCTGGAACGATGTGTCCAAGCAGCAGCTCACACACAGCTGAAAGAACTATTCCAGCTCCTCCACCTGTAATGCCCAGCATGTTACAACTTCCCAATGGGCAGACTGGGCGTTTGTATGCGGACGATGCAAAATAAACCTTACAAAACATGCAACTGTACAGTCAGTTCCCTCCCGTAACGTCAGAACTGTCCCTGTGACAGTTCCTCTTTGCCTTATTTGTCTCATCCTAAGATGCAGAAGCTAGCGCGAAAGGTTAACACACAAAGGAACCATCTCATGAAGAGCGCGTTGGCAACAGAAGAGTGCTACAGACATGACAGGTGGCACTTCACTTGCTATGAAATGATGCAACTAATCACCACTCTGCCGTGTGTCATAACGCACAAAACCACTGAAACAGGTGGAGATTGAAAAAGGAACAGCTGCCATGTCTCTGCTGTTAGCCATCCGTGTGCTGAGGAGTAAACACAGATGACATTGAGCATCAGTCCGTGCATTAAGTTGACCCTAAAGTCATTTTCCTCATGCTCCCTCATGCTTCTGTATGTGGTGAAAAAAAGTAATTCAATCATTTTGTCTAAAAGCCCAGATACACTTACTGTATAGGCCTGTTGAACAGAAATCAGGAGGTAAGGTTTGTGCCTATTTCTTCTGCAAGCTTCATCCTATTTTCTGCCCAGTAAGTAATTATCTGCCTGCACTTTGTTATTGTTGAACTTGGAGAGTTGGGGGGGGGGGGTGTTGTTGTTGTTGTCGGGTCTTTTTTTTTTTTTTTGGTTTTTTTTTTGTAGTTTCTTCCAAACTTCTTGTGGTCTTATCGGAGAGCTGCAGTTCTTGTATTTGACCACTAGATGGAGTCAGCAGTCCGCCTGTTGCCTTCTACATCAAGGTCACTCCAGACTAAGGACGTGCAGTACATTTAACACAAGAAATGTCCACTTCTTTGCTAAATCTCCCATTCATACGTTGTGTGTGTGTGTGTGTGTGTGTGTGTGTGTGTGTGTGTGTGTGTGTGTGTGTGTGTGTGTGTGTGTGTGTGTGTGTGTGTGTGTGTGTGTGTGAGAGAGAGAAAGATACTGCATCCTACAACTTAGCGCAGCAACAACTCACCCTCAGCGCTCAGAACATTGAGACAAATGGGTGAAACTCCTTTGCGACATTTTTTTGTTATGATATAATTTATTATCAGTGCCACTTGATATTATTCTTTCTACAATAATTTATTTTTTGTTAAATATATACATATATTTAATGTTATTTCTTTTTCTTATTGCTCTCAAAGAGAGATCTTAATTTGCACTAGTGGAAATTTAATTTTCACCTCATTTCAGTCGGAGGAGTCAGCTGTGAAGGCACAGAATGGAGACTGAATGACGCTGATAAAGATCAAGCTGCAGTGGACTGTGCTGCTCATGTCGGCTGCGCATATGCGAATGTTACCGGGTATGAATGTCATCAGTGAAGCAGCTGATAAAGTGTTTGCAGACCGGACTGAGTCAGAATACCAAATGAAAAGGAAGCGACTATAGCTTGGTGGAAAATCTTGATTAAAATGTGGACCAAAGTGTCTGGGCCGGGGGGAGCGTTCGTTTTTGTCTGTCACGTTAAGCTCGCTGGAAGTGCTCGTAATGAAAATGTGATGGCTTTTAAAAACTGACTATGGTACATAAAAAGTAAGTGTGACTTGCATTAAAGGGTCTACAAACCCTGATTATAAACTTCTTTTTTTTTCTCCTCACGAGTGGCACTAAACCGTGCAGATAGTTTTGTTTTGAATTCTCCAGGCTCGGAGTCTCTTTTCTTATTTCGCTCCACGAGATTAATGGAGTTTCATTTTAATTCCTGGAAAAATTAAAAAAAAATCTTCATTCAGCTGGCTGGATAGATGGTCAGAGTTGCCAGATTCATTAGTTTTTATTTCACAGAAAGAGGAATAAATAAAAAGTAAATGAACAAAATATGAGATGGTTAACTTAAACACTTATTAGCCTAGAATCTTACAGTGCAAACAGGTTTCATAGGTTATATTCACGTGCTGGCAAAAAAAGGGCCCAAATCAGATTCCTTTGCTTAAATACCACTCGTGTTTCTTCACAAAAGCACAAATCACAGAAATCTGCTTTCTTTTTTCAATTCTTTCATATGGAGCCCTGAAATACAGAGTTTTTTATTCAGTGAAAATCAGAATCCAACCACTCCGGGCTCCAACACTGCCTCCACGCCTCAATATGAAGCTAGGAGTTACTGTACCACAAAAAGCCACGATCTTTCTCTTCGTCCTCTCTGATTAGCCGGCCACTTCTGCACATCAACTTAAAAGTGAACCGGTAAACGCATTTTTTCGGCCTCTTGTCGCTTCTGTGTAAAAGTACGATGCACGGGACGCTGTTACACATGCGTCTCACTGTTTTTCTGATATTGGCTAAGAGAGGAATGCAAAAAAAAAAAAGTGCCAAACAAACTCATCGGAGGATTAAACCAGAATTTCTGCATAGGGCCTTGGAGTGTGAACCCAGCCTTCAGATGTCTGTCACAAAAATCAATTCAAATTAAATATTAAAGCTAATAAGATGACCTTTGATTTTTGCATGTTTTCGAAACATTTTTGAACATATTTTACCTGTCACCAAAAAAAGTTTTTTTTGAGCAACTATCAGACATTTCTGCAGAATTATTTAAAGCTGTTGGTAACTTCTTCTTTTTTTTTCTTTTTTTTTCCAGAAAAGGATCCATTTATTTTTCTAATGCAAACAGAGTCGTGTTGCATTTTTCCCTCAGATCTACAAAGAGGCACAGCACCTCTCCGGTGATTGTTTTGGTCGCGCAGGCTGCAACTTAACTGCTTTTTGTTAAGTCTCACTGCTCTCATTAGTGTCATTCTAAGAAGCAGCTGGCAGCTTTTTAGCTCTAGACAAACTGCTTAGCACCATATGACACTAATAATGACAGCAACTTGCTGGTGATCATAATTGAGCTTATTTAGCAAGTAAAGAGCTAAAATTTCCTTCAGAAGCTGGAGACCAAACCACTGATAAATTTGAGTGAGTACTGTAGTTATATCAGACAGCCAGGAATGCCAATTGAACAACAATGCTCTAAATCTCTCTAATGAGCAAGTGTATAGAGATATATATATATATAGATATATAATATATTGTTAGCTTACTGGATTAATATTAAACATGTCCACCTTTCTAATAATGAGTTTATGTTGGTAATCTCTGTGAGCCAAAGCTCAGGGTTCAGACTGCTCTTAATGCTCCGTTTTAGACATTTTTTCCACTCTTGGCTCTCACTGCGATCAATGAGGGGTTATCCCTAATAGCTTTGGCAGTGGGAACAGAAGCCGACCCACCAGCTGTTCAAACCTGTTGTTTGTGAGAGGCACCCAATCAGAAGAAATTTGTTTTTAATGTATGAGAGGTAAAAGAGCTTGTTTCAGACAGAGGCCGGACTGAGGGAGGCACTGTAGAAGATACCTAAGGTTTATTTTTAAAACTATGAAGTGGAAGTGAGAGTGGCAGTTCACTTTAAATAAGGGGGGAAAAATCCATCCATTTCCATCCTTATGAAGTAAAAGTGGATATCTCAAAACCTGGCCAGGGAAAACCAAAACTGTCTGCATGTCTATGTATCATCTGAGGAGATGACTTTTATGTTTTGTTTTTTTATTGTTTTGGGGAACAATCCTAGGTAGCTGCCCAAAGGCCAGAGATGAACTGAGACTCAGGTTGTAGAAACAACCTTCTTCAATCATGTCAACCTGTGGTTTGCATTCTGACCTGATCCGCACCAGTCTTGGTTGTGTGCTTCTCAGTCGCTTCATCCAGTCTGGGCATGATATTACAGTACAGTTGGACTGCATTAATCAAGCCATATTAAAACTAGATGTCTTGTTATTGGAACCACGTCATAGCGTTTGCTGCTGGTGTAGTGTAAATATTGTATGTGTGACAAAGTGTATCATACTGTATGTAGAGCTGACTGACTGATCAAACTACCTGTGGCAGTCATACAAGCTGGAGTGACTGGATGATTTCAATAAAGACTAGCTGTGACAATTTTAACCACACCCTGGTTTCGTGTTTACTCTGCTTGTGCATCTCAGCTTAACGGAAAGGGGCCGAAGTCATGACGCAGCTTTATTGACACGCACACTGTGCTGTCGTGTCCCTAACTGCATATCGTGCATGTGGTGGTGTGTTTTCAATCATGCTAAACCAGCCACAATCACTCATGTGCAGAGGGGGGCTGATTAAGAGTGTGCCATGACTCTGTAGGCAAGACGAGAGGAGAGGAGCAGGAGCAGGAGGAGGAAAAAAAAGATCATTAGGTGAAAAGAGAGAGTTGAACCAGGGCGAAGAGGAAGTAACCAGGAGCAAGTAAAGGGAAAGGAGGAATGAGAACGAACTAGAGGAGCAGGTGGTGGAGAGGAGAGAAGAGGTGAAGAGGCCAGGACTGAGGAGTGAAGGGATAAAGGGAAGTCACTGGAGGAAAGAGAAAAGGAGAATCAGGAGTTTTTTTGGAGGGGAAGAATTGGAAAAGACAGGGGTAGAAGGAGAGGAGAGAGAAAGAAAGCAAGAAGTCAGAGCGGAGTGGAGAGAAAAGGAGGGGATGAGGCGGCTGGGCTAGGGGCCCGGGGAGGAGAAGCTAGGGCCACGGATCAGGAACCAAGTTCCCCGGGGACGGAGCAGGTGCAGGCTGCGAGCAAGGCCTTTGGGCCTGAAGGGGCTGCCAGAGCTTAAAACAATCTGCACTGCTCCTTTTTTAATTTGGCTCTGCGAACAGCCCACCCTCCGCACTGACTGTCTCTCCCTCGCTCTGTGCTTAACAGATCAGCGATCCACAAAGAGGGGTAAACACACACAGAGCAAAATTAAAATCGGAACTCCCTTGGCACAGCAAAACAAATTAGAGCAAACAAATTACAGAGAGTCAACACACAAACAGTGGAGCATCTGTGGCTCTCTGGACTACCAGAGCCGGTGGCTACCTACCACACCACCACCACCAGAATCAACCTATAGTACAAGTTCACTACAATCTGCGTATCAGTCCCACACAAACACACTCACACAAGATATCCTTTGAAATCACCCAGCCCCACGTTTAAAACCGTCCTCTGCATTGTGCTGGTTTAGGCTTGTTT